GTGTTGACTCACTTATTAAAAAAATAAAGAGATGTTGTTTGATTGTCAATGAGACAACTATCCACCAAAGTTTAAAAGAAGTGGATGTAAGCAGTTATAGGCAAACGTACGGCCTTCAACAATGACAAAAAGCCAAAAACCCATTTCGTGTAGTCGGCTATAGAAGGCAAAGATATGAATATATGAAACAATTCAATTGAGAAAACTAACTGTCTAATGTATAACAAAACAATTTACGAAAAACAAATATAACAGACATGAACTAACAAAAACCACTGAAACACAGGCTTCTGACTTGGGACATATCCTTATTTTTATAAATTTTATTTTTTGTCGAAATCGTATTTTTACATAATTCATATATGAAAACGTTAATGGAGCTTAAAACATCAAATTGGCTAGGTATGTATACATCCCATCATTGTGTTATTGTGCTATGGTCATTTTTGTATTCTTGTCTTTCATTTTTGCGTATGTACTTTGTCTATAGAGTGTCTATATGAGGGTATGGATGGGGGTCTTTCATTTCTGTATTGTTCAAGATTTTCACTCATTATATTTTATCTTTAAAAATAATGGCTATCCTGTAGAAACTTGGTAACTGTATTCTGTTCTTTTCTGTAATCAGTATATTGTTACCCACTTCTTTAATATTTGCAGTTATTCTTTATATTTTAGCACCCCATTGTTCTCTATTCTTCATTTTTTTGCCCATTTTTCTCTATTCTTTAGTTTTTTTGCCTAATATTCTCTATTCTGTAAACCCAAAACACATCCTCCTATATGCCATTTTGTTTGTCCTAGCTGTTTCTTTTATATGGATTAAGATTATAACACAATATCGACTGCTGTACCCCAATTTTTGACATTTTTACCTATTATGTCTGTTTGTTCTGCTCACACATTGTTGTCAACATAATTGAATTCTATATGACTGTCATACAAGTGAGACCTAGGTTTATCTAGCTATGGTTAAATTCACCATTTTCTACATAAGGAAATGCGTGTACCAAGGCAGGAATATGACAGTTGTTAATCATTCGTTTGATGTGCTTGAGCTTTTGATTTTACCATTTTGTTAAAGGATTTTCCGATTGAATTTTCCTCGGAGTTCGGTATTTTTGTTATTTTACTTCTTTACATCATTCGATTATGCAGTTGTTCGTCAGAAACCAGTACGTGTCAACGGAATTTTTCTTTTAATATTCTAACTCGTTATAATGACTTACCTAACTCGTTATGACGACTTAATAACTCGTTATAACAAGTTATCTGTCTCGTTATACTATACCCCGTTATATATTTCCTTCATTTGTTATCGCTTGTGCTTTGATCTAATGATTTCTAATGTTCGACTAAGTGCAGAAAAATGATGATTAGAAGTTGGAAGATGAACAATTGCAAACATAACATTGATATATAGTGGTTGTCGTTGGTTCATGTCTGTCATATTTGTATTTAGTAAATTGTTTTGTTAAAAATTAGGCCGTTAGTTTTCGCAATTGAATTGTTTCTTATTTTTCATATCTGGGCCTGTTATAGCCGGTATACAGTATGAGTTCTCATTGTTTAAGGGCGTACGGTTGTCTATAGTTGCAAACATCCACTTCATTTGAACTTTGGTGGATAGTTGTCTCAATGGAAATCATATCACATCTCCTTATTTTTACATAACATTGAAGATGACATACAGTTTTTACTTACATGTCCTAAATGCATTAAAAGCGCAATCAATTTCTAGATAATGTATGACTTTGAGACTACCATATTTAAAGGCATTTACTGGTAAATCTAAATTTGTTCAGAAGCGTATGTGGACCTCATCTTATTTACTTAAAAATGCTAGCACCAACTAAACTAAGCTTTGTATCGATCTGATGAGTTAAGCCCTTTTCAACTGATTTTTATAGTTTGTTCATATGTTGTACTGTTACACCACTGTCATAGGTTATCTTTTTGTATGAAAAATAAGAGAGTGTGAAAAAAGGGCCACATATCTTTAATGCTTGGAAAATAATTTCAAACTAGTACAAGAGACCCTAAAAAGTTACTATCGTAAAGCTGTTTACGATATAAGCACTGATATAGATATTTTATATTTTCCTTTTATTACAATATCAGAAATTAAGAAAAATCTTTTGCTTCTGTTTTATATCTAATTTGCATCAATGGACACTCTCTTCATTGTGGACTAGAATAGAATTCATAACCAAAATATTGTGGTGATCTTGTGTTGCTGATAATTTTTTTCTGTTTACAGTTTCTCTCTTTCTTGTTTAGTTTATGCCCAAAACACAAAAAAAAAGGTTAAACAATCGTCATGTAAGGGCAATCACTCTTATAAAGAGTCTATCAACGATTTCATCAAAATCTTAATTTGTTTATCAGCTTTGCAATTTACACTGTATTTATCTATTAAGGTTTCTAAGATGATTGATAACAATCGTCCTTAAAGAGCAATAACTCCAATAAGGAGTCGACTGACGATTTAGGATATTACGCTTAATAGTAGATCTAGTCTAACTGAATATGTTCGCCTCTTTTAAGTTTGTATCTATCCGTTATAGCTTTAAAGATGGAAAAAAATCAAACAAAATATAGTAAAAATCGTCAATAAAGTTCAATAACCATGAGTAGGTTAAACGTTATGGACTATCTGTTTCACAGATGACGACAGATATGTTCCAATAATCGTAACTACAATCCCATCCGCTTTTCCCCGAATGGTACCTGCCGATTAAGACTTCTCTCTGGGTTTGTACTTACATGAGCAACACGACAGGGCCACATGTGGAGCAGGCACTAGAGCACCTGAAATCACCACCGGTTTTTGGTGGGGTTTATGTTGCTCAGTCTTTGGTTTGTATGTTGTGTTTTGTGTACTGTTGTTTGTCTTTTGGTCTTTTTTCTTTTTTTGCGATGGCGTTGTCAGTTTAATTTCGACGTATGCGTTTGAATGTCCCTTTGGTATCTTTCGCCTCTCTTTTACAACGACGTTTGTTTACATTTTACACAACATGAACAGGACATTCCTTTTATAGGTATTAACTGCGTACCATTTGTATAAAACCGGTTTAGGAAATCCTGACAATTGTACGTAAACAAACTTATTTTCGCGGATACTTTTTTTCATTTCGCGTTTAGCCCTTACTAGCTGTTTTCGCGGCGATTTAATTTCGCGATTTTCAAATTTGCTTGATGTAGTTAAATGAAGAAAGATCCAAGTTTGACAAATTCGCGACGATTTATATTTGCGTTATTTTCCTACTCGCGAAAGACACGAAAATAAATCGCTCGCGAAAATTAGTTGGTTTACAGTAGTACTTCAAGGTATTGAGTGACAGACGAACAAACAAACACAATTATTGCTTAAGGGGACCATAGATTAGAATTCAGTGGCATTTGTTAAACACCTGTTCCTTTTATTCATTACGGTAATTGCGTTATTATACAGTTCTTAAAACATACAACCCGTCTGCAGTACAATCCGACTATGTATGGTTTCTCACTGGTTCATCATTTGGTTACTTTTATTCCCAGACACATGATGATGCTTGCAGGTGGAGTGGAAGGTGGAGTTGGGGGTTGGGAATATCTAAAATGAACATGATCACAGTTCTAGTTTGAATAGAGAGGAAATGATATACATACCATATTAACATATTTATGTTATGCTGTACTTCAGCTTATAATATTGATGACGAATAGCACCATAGTATCATATGTTTCACACGGAATATCAGACAATCATAAAACGTGTCACAATACATTTTTTCCATAATTATGCAGTATCATCATTAAAAAAAGACAAGTTATAAAATACCAGAACCACTGAAAAATATATAAACAGCAGTGAACGGGAAAGGACTGACAGAAACTCCTTGGTTTGTATAGCCATTCGACGAAGACGTGATAACAATAAAGTTCCCAACGCACTTCGGACAAGATTGGGACGAAGTCAGAAAAAGTTTAACTGTCGTTAAACGTGTTGATCGAAAAGGGAACTGTTAGAACGGATTTCGACGAATAAGGAACGAAGTAGAACTAGTAAACAATCTGATGTAAACAGACTATAGACGGACTTGGACTATATGGAAACGGTGTCCTCAGAAAGCGAAAGGAAATTGTTATCGCATCTGAACTGAATATAAACGGGATAAAGACAAGATGGAGGTATCGAGAACTGTTTAAATACTAACTTTGGTCGCATTATAGATATTGTCAGACCAAAGTTATACGTTTTTGCCCGACCACAACTCGTTTTACGTATTTTCAAGGACGGGTTCGAACCTTTTGAGAACTAGTTTGGTGTAACTAAATCTTTACGAACCAGAACATTAATACGTAAACAATAAAAAGTGTGTGTATCATAATTTATATCAGTGTACAAAGGTACACTACTTTGGAAAACATAAATTCGCGTTTTATCACCATTTAAGACTCATAAGACTATTTAACAAATTAATTAACTGTCGAAAACTTTCATAAGCAAACATGACAACTATACCCAACAAGAGGCAAGGGAAAACAAATGAGATCAACACTTTCTGAATTGTCTAACCTGCCTCCGATATATTTAATCCTGTAAGTTTTATTCTTTTGTGTGTGTTGTCGATATTTGCAGTTCCTAGTCGTGAATTCATTACTTGATTGTATTGATGAATACATACATCATCCTTGAAACGCCTGGTCTCACCTTATTCAAAGTTTGTGAAAGTTTTACACACGGCTGTTTGTTAAAATAATGTAGTTAAGTGACGATTTAGAGTGATAATGTAGACACTTGTATGTTTGATTTAAGAGATTGATTGTAGTTTCTGTTTCAATCCTTTCATTTAGGTGTTGTTTCATTGGTGCATGCTCAGCAGTAAGCTATAAATCATATCCCTTATATAATATACATCATATTTTATCATCATCGTACATAAACCTGGAATAAAAAGAGTCAGGGTATAACGGGAATGGACATTTCATGGCCTTAAAAAATTAAACAATGCAAACTAAAGGATTCTGATTTATTATCTTTCACATCATTCATCATAAAATTCGTCAGTTGCAATTTAACGATAGCCACATACACTTTCATGTACAAGTTTTCTGAAAAACAGAAGTTGTTAAAGTTTAGAATATTTCAAAATATACAGTATTACAAATTAATCAAATTAGAATTGAAAATTACAACAATTTGCCATAGTTTTTCAGTTTCTCTACTACACCTTTCACACTTAAACGTGTTTGAAATAAGCGAATTTCTATTTGACCTGTTATCATTTCACTAATTCACAAAGCAAATGCTTATGTCAGGAATAGATTCAATTGTAAATGTTAAGTTAGATTTCTTAGATTTGGAAATAAATATCCTTCAAAAGCGTTCTTCTTTTAAGGATATAAAGTATAGCAAGATTTTCTTCCACATATTTTACCCCTTGATTAAAGTTTAACTATAGATCAAAGCTTGAGACTCTTTAGAAACAAAATTTCAGTAAGATATCACAACTTAATTCAATATGTGTTACAATGTTGCTTCCTTTTTTAATAATTTTTAATCAGCAAGCAGGCAAAACTTGATTCTAATAAGTATGCGAATGAGTATGTTACAGTAGGATACAAAATTATAATTATTTCAAAAGCATCATCAAACTAACCTTAGTTAATAAGCAAACAAATTCATGTTTGATATCACAATTTGTCCACATATTGAGAACTGTGCCGTTGCTGAATTTTTGAATTATACATTTCTTATCATTTGTTGAAAAACCTTGAAACACAAACGAAAAAATCTTTATTTACAATGAATGAGTAACTATGTGAAAAACAACATAATAAGTTGAAAATTAGAAACAAATGAACAAAAAAACCAAACCTATCAATCAGAGAACATGACTTTCTAATGGGTAAACGAAACATGCATCGCAATTCTGAACTGAATGGTACAATGATGATGGCGTTACCTGACATATCGATACACAACTGTGAAATCAAACAAGCAGACATTTCATAGCTGTTAACCGTTCACCAAAAAAAAAAGAAAAAAAGAAAGAAATAGAATTAGCTGTTCTTTATGTCATAAGTCTATAGTTGGTGTGTCCGGGTGGTTTCTCTTAATTGAATTTCAACAATGTTGATGCCAAAATTGTAAAGGTACTTGCAAGAGCATGGAAAATTAACCAAAATGGACTTTAACTCAAAATCAAATCTGTCTAATGTAAATTTGTTTGAATGAGTTTGAACTGTAGGTTCTTATTAAAATCTAAATAAATCAACGATGAATCAATGCTCTTTAACTTTCTTGTCCTTCCAACTTTTTTGCATTCGAGTGCCAATCACAAGGACAAGTTTTTGAAGACAAAACACGCATGCAGCTGACGTTCAAAATTATAAATCTACTTCTTTGATACGCCTTTCCCTCGTTGTACGTTTATTTTGTAATCTGAAGTACCTTCTTCGTAGTTTTTTTTTTTTTTGGGGGGGGGGGGGGGGGGTTGTTTAGTTATTTGGTGTTAATGACAGTTCTTCGATTTTCTCAGATATAATTTATTCTTTGGCCCTCTTGGCTCTGGACGATTTAGGACTTTATTTTCGTAAAATCAACCGTTGAAGACCATATGTTAACCCTTTCATGCCTTCTGTTTTTTTTTCTTTTGTTTTTATCTTTGTTGGATAACTGTCAAATGGACATTTATTTCCAATCTTATTTATTAGAATTACATAAACACTAAGCTTTACCTTTTCGAATTGTTTTTCATCATATTGAAGTATATTTTGATTAACCCATCATTAACACCAAGAAATACATTTTATTAACGAAATGATTTTTTACTTAATTATGTTTAAAGCTGATAATTACCTGAAACAGGAATAGCACCAGTCCATAGATCGAGGCTCTTTGCTGTATGAAGAATTAAATTGTTAGCGTCTTCAAGTCAGACAGAAAAAAAATCCAGTTTAAGTACACAGAACCCGGAAAAATAACTAAAACGCTTGAAATCTACGGATATATAGTTTATTGGTGGGTCTTCAAGTTTGTGGACGGAGTAAAACTGTTTTTGAGTATAAAATGCAAATAGCACTTTCTTTATTTTGTGCGTACAAAGCATTTGTCTTGAATGTTAATCCATCAGGAATGCTAAAACTCAATCATTTGACAGACAAGGATGTATAACACATAACCACGTGAAGAGCTTGATAACCGAAGTGGACCTAAATAATTATCAAATTTATCGCAGGTTATGGTTGCCTTTTTTAACCTTAGATTCCTTATACATTTTGAATTTAACAACGGAGAATTCAAGAATAAAAATTTCAAAATCAAGTCAGAACCGAATAACTAACTCCTGATCTGATGATACTCTCGGGATTACAGTCCACCACCAGTGGTATCGATCCAGCGCTCACAATTTAAATTCAATTAACTCTTTATTAATGTTGCACGTCCCAAGCTGTTTTCTGGATTACCATCACCAGGAAAGTATTTTAGAATTTCAATAGTACTTGATGGTAAACATTTATAAAACAAATATATTAAAAAGACATGTTTTTTTGCCGCATTGACTTAAATATATATCTAAAATCTCTATTTGTACCTTAGGACTGTTACTCGTAGATTTCCGAATGGTGATTGGCTCATTTACACTATCCGTGGTTTAATTGAAACATTTTAATTATCCTAGATATGCATCGTTTGATCAATTGAGGAGACTTCTTCTGCCTAATGAAATTAGGTTCAAAGTCTTTGGAGTATTCAATTAAGTTTTGATTGAGAATTAGCCAAAGTCGTAAAAAATACCTGGTATTAGTCATGTTAGTTACTGGTTGTTATTTTTTATTGACAAATAAAGGCAACAGTAGTATACCGCTGTTCAATACTTATATATCGGTTAAGCGAAAACAAATCCAGGTTACTAATAAACCGAGGTAAACACATCAACTATAAGAGGGAAACAACGGAACAACAGAAACACTGAACTGCAACCAAAAAAAAAAACCGCCAGCAACATAGAAACGGACTATTTGATAACAACTGCCAAATTTCTGACTTGGTACAGGACATTATAAGAAAAAAATGGTGGATTGAACCTGGTTTTATGTCTAGCCAAACCTCCCGTTTATATAAAAATGTTAAAAGTACAGCTAAAATGACAACATTACGTGACAGGAATTCAGTACAAATACACGCAAGAACACTCGGGACAGAGAAACACTTAGATAAATAACATAATAGTACATTACAACATGTAAACCACAGAATAACAACGGACACCTCCCATGAATCCACGACAGTACACCAAGACACCACAAACGAATCATAAACAGTGCATCACACGAATGTATCACCGCCACAAAAAGTAACGTATTTTTTGTGACGTTTATATTATCAGAGGTAAATTTCTAAAAATAGAATAGATTTGTACATAGCAGACCAGACGACGTAGATGGTAAACTGCAATATAAGACGTGGTAAAAATGTAGTTAATTAGTTTAGATAACATTTACGGAGTGTCATTTGTAATCTTTCCTCCTCATAACTCAGTTGGAGCAGTTAAAATTGGAGTAATAAAATTGTCTACCTTAATAAGATAACACTTAAAATTCAAAGCCTGGCCTTCTTGAGGCAGATATGTTTAGTGGATAACATTTAAAAGACCAAATTATTACATTTAGTCAAAGTGTGTCTGAAATAATAGAATATTACTGTATGTGTACTTTTTCGCGGTATATCTATTTCCACGAATATACGCGAATACAAATGCAGCTTAAATGGACGAAAAAACCTTTAAATAATTGTCTTCCGAATTTCCAACTGTACATAAACGTTTACCTTATTTCCCTTCACATCTCCTCGTTTGAACTTTGAAACTGTTAAAACAACACCAGTGATCCGGACAGAAAATCAATTAAGGACACAAGGTTATAATGACCCAAGCCAAATCTGACAATTTTATTGTGAAACTACAACTTAATCTGAAAATTTTGTTTATTTAGCAGACGACTGTTTCGTCTATGGAATAATCTTTATTTATCTTTTTAATAATTTCACTTACTTGTTCTTTAGTAGTTTATTTTTTTGTTTAACAAAAAGTTCAAGATCAAATTTATCAAATTTTTAAAAGATTTTACTCAATTTTAACATAAAAGCTATTTACCTTGTAAAATTGAAAGTCATGTTTACTTAATACAGAAAGATATTTATCAATGTTTTGATATTTTCGGCAATACCGCGACATTAAATATACGCGAATTCATCGGCAATACCGATTTCGCAAAAGTAAATACTGGCGAAAAATTGTACAAATACAGTAATCAATTTACGGCAAACAATATATGCTTTGTGCAATATTTAAAAGATGAAATTTATGCATACCTATATCAGTTAAATGGTGAACAGGTAAAAGAAAGTTCAGTCGTTGCAGTATCAAGTACTGACAACTTGCATATAGATTCAGGTATATATAAACTCATCATAGTATGGTGGTGTAGACAATATATGACAAAATTGATTTCACCCTTTACCGAATGTAGTTTTTTTCGTGCTATGTAATGAATTAAAGTTATGATGAAAACTACAGGTCGTTGCGCTCACGACAAAAGAAACATATTTAGTCACCTGTGAAACAGAATTTTCATATCGGGGAACAAACTCGTGATGGCGTCCCTTCAATTTTCTAAGGATAACTCCCCCTTCCCAAATTGGAATCCTATGTTCAACAGCTTCCTTGTTATTATTTACTCTCTTTCATTGAAGTCATGATGGGAAACACAAACTTCTTAATATTGTATCAATTGGAAGATGTTTACTGCATATGCAAACAAAGCTTGAATGTTGCTACATAGATTTAGAAAGGTTACGATTGACAAGCTGAAATCATCTCTGTTGTCGTAAAGTTTTGTTCTCAACCGACTATCATTGTCAATATCAAGATGTAAGTCAAGATATAAAGAAGATTCAATTCTACGAAGTTCAACCGTCATTCCTAAATCATAAGGCATTTTGATTGGTTTCTCACAACAGAAAAAAATTAGAACACATTATTTTCTACTAACTTACCGATATTGAATTGCGTTCTGACCTCATTAGCTTCTGCTTCACTATTTGTCCTCCAAAGGTTGGCTCCTGTTGTCCCAATGCAGAACGTCTAAAATTTAGAAACATGCCTCGGATTGATGCAGTATCTACATTTTTAACATACTTTTCTTATAAATACAAAAATGTTACGTTTGTTTTTTTCTTTAACATGGGAAAAATATAATTAACAATAACGCAGATTTTACTTATGTCAGTACTGCGAGTTTTGACAATTATACTGTCAAGTTAAGTAATATGTTTCGAAGTTTTTTTTGTTTCTGTTGTTGCTTGGTTTTCTCATTAACGTACATATCTTATTACCGTTTAATTACCTCTGCAGTTACTAAACCAGCGTGACGCCTGTATCATGAAAATTGATGACAGGAAAACTGGACTTTGGTCAAATGACACGCAAAAGTATGTTCTTACTATGTAAATACTTCACCAATAACTTACATCAAACATGTCTAGTAAATAAACTCATCATATAAACAACATGATTACAAATATTGTACGTCAGATGCGCCTTTTGTCTACAAATATCTAACTAGTGACGCTGAAATCCAAAAAAATCAAAAGACAAAAAATTAACGAAAATTAATAGCATTTAGGACCCAAAGTTCCGAACGGTTGTACCAAATTCAGTTAAGGTAATCTATTTTTGGGGTAGAACATCGATAACATTAAAGTTGTATAAACGGTTTCATTATAATGATGACAAAATAATTGAGAATTCATGTCTACACAGAAGTGCTGAATACTGGTCTTGTGATACCCTCGGGGAAGAAACCTCTACCAGCATAGACAATAACTGGAGGTCTGTTCCGAAAACCTCAACGAATATATTATGTGTGTATGCTTATGTAAGTCCATACTAAACATCCCCTTTAGTAGACACAATCACCAATTTAAAACAAAAGTGATTGTTCCAGTGATAACATTTCTACTACACGTCTTCCGACTTCATCGAGAATAAACAAAATTTTTCAGACAAAACCTGTTATTTGATAGACATCTACAGATATATATATCAACCGAAACAATTGTTTCCGGTTTTCCTCGCTGTCAATGTATTAAAGGATGTAGCCAGGTGAAACTAAAAAATCGGAATTTAAAATTGATACAATAAATCTGAAGAGCATTAGGAACAAAATAAGCTAGCTGTCAGTAACTGCGTGTACTCTCAGATCTGTATTGTCTTTTTGTTGAGGGGACGTATAAGTACCCTGCCACGTCCACTCTGTATTTTTTTTATTTGGTATCGATCTGATGAGTTAAGCCCTTTTCAACCGATTTTTATAGTTTGTACATATTTTGTACTGTTACACCACTGTCCTAGGTAAGAGGAGTGTTGGGCTCCCGCTAACATGTTTTACCCCGCCACATTCTGTATGTGCCTGTCCCAAGTCATGAGCCTGCAATTCAGTAGTTGTCGTTTGTTCTGTATATCATATTCGGTTTTCGTTCATTATTTTGTACATAAATCAGACCGTTAGTTTTCTCGTTTGAATTGTTTTACATTTGTCATATTCGGGACTTTTATAACTGAATATGCGGTATGGATTTTGCTAATTGTTGAAGGCCGTGCGGTTACCTATAGTTGGTAATTTCTGTGTCATTTGGTCTCTTGTGGAGATTCGTCTCACTGGTAATCATACCACATCTTCTTCTCTATATATAAAAATATTGATAGAATATGGAACTCCTTTTCGATATATTTAATTTTTTTTAATGGCGGGAAAATGCTGACTATGATTTTTACCTTATATTAAGCATTAACAGTATTTGGGTCTCAAATCGGAAGAAAAAAATCTAGAATCTGCTTAAATTTTGGTAAATGGCCTTTTATGAGCTATTAAAGTCTTATATGAAAAGAAAAGTGGGTGATATGGGACAAAATCCTGTATCGTGGTAAAAAACCCAAGGAGTCTGAACATCTGACAAAAATTCCTAGACCTGACCTTACTACATCCAAAAGACTATATTGACCTCTAAGGTTATATATATTATATAGACATGAGAGGTAAAATTTGAATCCCATAATAACAAGCTGCCTGTCAACAATTTATATCTAAGAAATTATTCTATTATGCATCTTGAGCGGAAGCGAGGTGTAAAATGTTGACAAATATAATGCCTAACCATATTAAAATGAGCATAGAGCATGGCATGATAGAATTATTTCGATTCTTATCGGAAATTTTGTTCTTCGAAGCGGGTCTATAACACACGTTCGAAAGGCAGCCATTATGATTTTATAAAGCCAAGACGATATAGAAAATCAACCGTTTCACGATAAAAAATGAACAGATACATGTAAACTTACTTAAAGAATGATTTTTGTTAATTTCCCAGCAAGATACACCATCAAAACTGACAATTTTTTCTCCGGCGTTGCAATTTCAATTGTGACGTCAATCATGTGTAGCCCATGTTTTATTGCAATTAGAACATGGCTTTGTTTCAAAGGCGAAAGAAGAACGTCAAATAAGAATTTTTATTTTTGGCAATACCTTTTATTCTTAGCATTTTTGTCCTTCGAGCTATCATTTTAATGGTCTGTAATGCTAAAGTAAATCTCTGTTTGTTAATTTGTTGCAACAGGGTCTAGGTTTTGAGTGTGTGTTCTGAGAGACAAATAGGTTGTTATCACTTTGAAAAAGTTTCATTTTGAATGTACAATTTGTTTTAGGAATCGTCTGCATAAATTTTACAAATATCTTTGTATTTATAAATAGAAGCAACTATTATTGGATTTGTTTTTCAATGTATTGCCAAGTATGGCCTATAGGTTTCAAACCTGGTTTCATTATTCCATTTTGAAAGGTAAAATTCCATAAAGTAAAAACTTTTCATGATAATGACTGCGTCATTAATGCATAAAGATTCCCGAACTTATTTCAATATTACAAACTATTAAAGTACAGTATTTTTTACCGAAACATTAATGTTCAGAAGAGGTGCTTGGGAGGACAAAAAGTTGAGGGAAAATAAACTTTTCGATTTCCTGGGCGTGCGAATTGTCAGTCTGTTTTATATGTAATTACTCAAAAAGAGTTGTTTATAGTTAAACATTTGTGAAATTTAATGCCAATATAGAGGTGGAAAAACAGCCACATTGAATCCACGAAGAATAACAAAGGCTTATACGTTTAGACAAAAATAATTGTTGACTCAGAAAGCATCATTTCCTCTTTCATTTCTCCCGGTGATATATATCTAAGTTTAGTTTTTTTTATATTTAAGTTACTCTAGATATTAACAAATCAAAATGAAGGATACGTTATTAGATTAGGAATAATCAAATGTGATACGACACAAAACATACTCACCACAGCCTCATACCAGGTTCTCTCATCCCCTTCATTGATGTAGTAACAATTTGGACTAGCAGTTTGGTTATCTAACAATGCATATTCAGCAGGGCACATTGTTGGAACACATGGTGCTGTTCATATGACATAATATGAGGTAATTATTCAAATAAATTTAAACTGATGACACAAACAAACAAATTAAGATAAAATGTACGGTATCTCTATGATGAAAAGTCAATAGACACTCAATGCAAACCTGATTGATGTTAGATATAAAAAAAAAACAACAATTTACTTATATTATCGTAGGATATAATATTTAGTTTTTCTATAGTAAGTATTATTGGTACATAAGTTATGACAAACTTATTGCTATTCGTATAGCAAAATACAGGATTGCAGACTTAATAAAACATACACGATATACCTTCAATTGATTTTTTTAAAAATATCAACGTTAAAATATTAATGTGTCAAATTTTGTCTCGTTGTTTCAGTTCTGTATTTTTAACTTAAACGCGAAATAAAGTATCCGGAGAAATAAATTAATTTACAGTATATCGTATTATATTTATCAATGTAGTTCGATCTTTGGCAGATATTGTAAATAAAACTTTGCATAATTCATGTAAGCTTTTGATTTTATATAAATATAGCTACTGACCATTACTAGTATTGTTATGACTTTTTCTGTCAAATCTTTTATTAATGTCAAGCAATTAAACGCACATTAGATACTACGGTACAGTATTTAACACTAAGCTAATTTTAAGAAAACTTCTGAACTGATTCATATAATGTAATATGTAAAGTGGTCTGATCATGCAATCACATGATTTGAACTATTTGAACTAAAAATTGATAAGCAAACATAGACGAAGAATTTGCACACACAAATAACAATGTGGATACATACCGGGCATGTATTTAGGTTCGCTTCGTCTTCGTCTTACAATTTCTAAAACATAGACAATATATCGTATTGTATTCTGTTCATTAATATCGGCAAATATATATAAAAGATCTTCTTATGATTTATATAAGCTTTTAAGATCAGATTGTAGATACAAAACATAGCTAAAAGCTGAGCTCGAATCTTTGTCTGTCAAGTCCTTAAAAGACTCAAGTAAATAAAACATGTTTGATTTAATGTTCTAATGCTTTACATCAACCTTATTCTAAGAAAACATTGAACTGATTCATTTTATGTTTTGAATATATAATGAAATCAAAATGAAATTTCAATCAGTTACAAGTTTTCATAAGTGTTATGATTGAACGCAATCAAAATCACACTGAATCTAGACTTTAAAGGATTTAAAAGTCTTACTTCCTATATATAACTGGAAGCAATTATACCAACAGAATAATACTAGTCAGAAAAAATATATTAAATGTTATATTTTTTGAAAATTAGGGTCCAAATGTACTCACTACTACAGAAAACCAGCATATTTTGAGTTCTTCCTCTCAAGAAAACAACCAAAGCGGAAACACCCTTAACATGTTTCCTTACATTTCATGAGAACAGTTAACTGAAACACAGTATTTTAGTAAATACAGATGAGTGCAGTCCTAACCTGTACAAAAGTTAACTTAGAGCAGACTTTTTGACTGCTTTCCAAGTTAACTTGAGATATTTTAAGGAGACAAGCAAGTTAACTTCGTCGTTAGTAGACCAGACATAGGTCTGCTTTTTTAGGACTGCTGTAGACCAAACCTGTGGACAAGTCTGCTACGGATCAGTCCTGAGGACAGGTCTGCCCCAGACCAGATCTGTGGGCAAGTCTGCTACTGACCAGACCTCAGGACAGGTCTGCTTATGACATATTACCGTGTTTAAGACTTTTCATATTAGACCTGGGCTTTCATTATGCAAACAATAATCGTATTGCTCTTCTTTACCAGTATAGCAAATTACTATACTCGTTAGTGACTCTGTATACATATTATACTCATTAAAAAATTTCTAATATACATGTAATAATGGCTATACAATTTCACACTTGTTGATCGACAAATATACATGCAGCTATCATAAAAGAAAGGACGTTTTTTTTTCTAAATTGGAAGGCGGATAGAAAGGTTACCCAACACATCGGAAAAATATTTGTATATGATGGGATATAAACATCATTGTTCACGTTGCTTCGTTCCGCATTTTTTACAATCTCTTTCCAAATTACTCTATGCATTACCTCGATTATTCATCGTTATTCACCTTGTTTGCCTTAGATTTACGATTCTGCTTTTTGACAAAATGTTCAAACGAAAATTGTACAGTGTCCGGATATATAAGGTGTTGTATAGTTATGAACCATCTCGTCAATTTCGGCAGATTCATCTTTACCGATTATAAATGATATCTGGGACGTCCGAAAAAATATACTCGTTCTGAACATGAATGCAATATTTGCCCCTGGACGTTTAGCTGCCAACAAAATCAATCAACCAACATAATATTGTAACAGTCAGTCAGTATAGTATTCCCAGATGAGAACTTCTCATATGATACTTTTCATTTTATAGTACAAATATAATCAGTCATGTCAGTGTTGGATGATTCGGTCAACAGTTTTGTTATACAAACCATCCTGAACTACTTACTTTAGTGACGGTTAAATATTATGGCCATTGTGTACCAATGTTGCTGTCATTTGTTTTATACAATCCATACCGAGTTAACAAATTGATGATTTCTGATCCGACTATTAAATGCGAATGATCATGAATATTATGGTCAGTCAGTAAACGATTCCCAGATGATGCCACCTCATACATGTCATACTTTTATCATGTTTATCATAAAGTACGAATATAGACAGTTTTGGTTGATGCGGTCAAATATTTTTGTTATACGAGCCACTTTGAGATATTAAAAGTACTGATTGTTTGTGACTCGACAATATTTTGAATGAAAAGAGGACATGCTGACACTCTAAATTGATGTGGACAAATATTTGTGATCATTGTGTTCCAATATTGCTGTCATTTGTATTATACAATCCATTCTGACATAAAAAAAAAATACTGATTTATTATGCAGCCATTTAAATTTACATAATAAAGTGCAAATATGGTCAGTTTTAGTTGATGCGGTCAAATAATTTTGTTATGTGAGCCAGCCTGAGGTATCAAAGCTACTGAATATTTGTGGAGAGTCAATATTTTGAATAAAAAAAGGACATACTGGCACTCTAAATTTATGCGGACAAAATTTTGTAGTCATTGTGTTCCAATATTGCTGTCATTTGTATAATACAATCAATCCGGCCATAAAAAAAAATTACTCAAATATTATGCGGCCATATAAATTTTAATAATAAATTGCAAATATGGTCAGTTTTGGTTGATGCAGTCAAATATATTTGTTATACGAGCCAGGCTGAGGTATAAAAACTACTGAATTTTTGTTACGAGTCAATATTTTGAATAAAAGGAGGACATTCTGGCACTCTTAATTGATGCTGACAAAATTTTAAAGTCATTTTGTTCCAATATTGATGTCATTTGTATTATACAATCCAACTTGACATAAAAAAAAAATACCGATTTATTATGCGGCCATATATATTTAAATAATAAAGTGCAAATATGGTCGGTTTTAGTTGTTATACGAGCCATCCTTAGGTATCAAAAGTTCTAAGTTTTTGTTACAAGTCAATATTTTTAAATACAAAGAGGACATGCTAGCACTTTAAATTGATGCGGACAAAATTTTGTAGTCATTGTGTTCCAATATTGCTGTCATTTGTATTATACAATCCATCTTGACATAGAAAAAAAATAATAATTTATTATTCGGCCATATAAATTTACATAATAAAGTGCAAATATGGTCAGTTTTGGTTGATGCGGTCCATTAATTTTGTTAAACGAGCCAGCCTGAGATATCAAAACTACTGAATTTTTGTTATGAGTCAATATTTTAAATAAAAGGAGGACATACTGGCACTCTAAATTGATGCGGACAAAACTTTTGTAGTCATTGCGTTCATTTGTATTATACAATCTATTCTGACATAAAAAAAAAATAATGATTTATTATGCGGCTATATAAATTTACATAATAAAGTGCAAATATGTTCAGTGTTTGTTGACGCGGTCAAATAATTTTGTTATACGAGCCAGCCGGAGGTATCAGATAAAGGCAACAGTACTATACCGGTGTTCAAAAGTCATAAATCGATTAAAAGAAAACAAATCCGGGTTACAAACTAAACCCGAGGGAAAAACATCAACTATTAAAGGAAAACAAAGGAGCAACACGAACACTAATGTGCAACAAAAACAAACGCCAACATACATAGAAACGAACTATTTGATAACAACTGCTATATTCATGACTTGGTACAGGACATTCAAAAAACAAATGGTGGGTTGAATCTGGTTTTATGGCTTTTCAAAGCTCCCGCTTATTAAAACTACTGAATTTTTGTAACGAGTCAATATTTGGAATAAAAAGAGGACATGCTGGCACTCTAAATTGATGTGGACAAATTTGTGTAGGCATTGTGTTCCAATATTGCTGTCATTTGTATCATACAATCGATTCTGACATACAAAAAAAATGAAATTACTTATTTATTAAGCGGCTATATAAATTTACATAATAAAGTGCAAATATGGTCAGTTGTGGTTGATGCGGTCAAATAATTTTGTTATAAGAGCCAGTCTGAGATATGAAAACTGCTGATTTTTGGTAATGGATCAATTATTTGAATAAAAAGAGGACATGATGGCACTGTTAATTGGTGCAGAAAAAGAAACATTAGTAATGAGGACACTCTGAATTATAGCCGACCATAAACAGGATAAATATTTGTAACTGTACACCAATATTGCTTTCATTTATCATGATTATTTTATACAATCTAAATACTATGCGTTTTCGCCATTGGATATCGATTTCATCTGATAACCAAGTTTACAAGATTAATACTACATTTTAAAACAGACCAGGACTTATAATATTTTATATAAAATACATGTATATACGACTTACAGAATTTGATATTTATTGAAATATACTGTAAACCAATTAATTTTCGCGAGCGATTTATTTTCGCGACTTTCGCGAGGGAAAATATAACGCGAATATAAATCGTCGCGAATATGTAAAACTTGGATCTTTCCTTATTTAGATATATATATAACTGCATCACACAAATTTGAATATCGCGAAATTAAATTGCCGCGAAATGGCCTAGTAAGAGCTAAACGCGAAATAAAGTATTCGCGAAAATAAGATGGTTTACAGTATATTCAATGCACGTTAGCAGTGTAACCAATATCGTTTTCAATTGATAAAAAGGCAGATCACGCAGAAAGTTGTATAACAAGCAAAGTTTTAAGAGTACTTTATTTTTAAATGTATTTAGTCTAATTTGTTTATATCAAGAAACAAAGACATTTAAAAATATTTTATTAAAAATTAATGTAGAGCTGTCCTGGTTACAAGTTAACTTAGTGTTGAGCAGACCAGCCAAAAGTTAACTTGAGATCAGGTCTGCTTTGATCGGAGTTGCCAAAATTAAAGCTAATTTATTGCAGGATTGGTTTCGAAGTTGACTTATAATAGTAGCGGACCTGTATCAAAGTTAACTTTTTCGGCAGTCATAAAAACAGTCCTAGGACCAAGTCCGCTTTTCAGGGTAACTTGATTGTGGTCCTAGGACTGGTCAGAACAGTCCTAAATCCTATCACAGTTTAACTTTGACCAGTCAAAATGACTGGTTAGCCAGTTAACTTGCTGTACAGATTAGGACTGCACCCATCTGTATGTAAAGTCGTCAGACAATCGGAACAAATTTAACTAATGAGAGTGTATATCACACCTGCAGAACATGTTTCTGAAAGATGTAAACGTTGTTATCATTTTCTTCTAAATATTCTTTACTTTATTTATTTCATTTTTCATATAAGAAATTTAACTTCATAATCATAATTGTCTTTACCTCTATGAAAGCCTCTCTGTGCCATCACATTATCACAGACATAGGTAATTACAGCAAGATAGATAACCGCTGGAAATGTTATATTCATGCCTTGACTAATTGGTTGTTGTTGTACAAAAATGGTTCATACCTGTATTTCTATGAATTATGACGATGTAGCTGATTTTATACCTCCAACTCGTCTAGACACGTAACATTTGCTGTCTCATTTCTGTTAAAAAATTAACAAGTACTTTTACAAAAACATATTCAAAACAAGCACAGGTGGTGTTTTTATATATAAAAAAAATCCCATCTTACTTGTAAACAAAATCGATTGCAGGCAATGCATCTGAAGATAGTGTTTACAGATTAACAATTAGAAAAATGACAGAAATACAATCGTACATGTTTCAAAAACATCTTTACATAAGTTCTGTGACTATATAAATATTACAATTTGTAATAGCCGATGTAGAATTTGAATAATATTCTTCATTGTTGAAAATATATAATTATAAATCAAAAGGATGAAACATATCAATCCGAATGATTAATGACCGTCTAATGTTCATCGCAATATGATATCATGTACACATGATCTGAAAACACAACTTTTTCAACAAGTTTGTACATATGCTTTCACAAATGCTAACAGTCAACAGGATGATAGATTACAATTTAAATTCAAATTAAATTGAGAGTACAAGCGACCAGTCTTTGTTCTCCATAGACATTGAATGGTATGTGCTTAATGATGAAGAGGAAATATGTTCATACAAATTAGGGATAATACAAAATTTAAATAAGAAGCATTCATATTGCCTTCAAATAGTTGAAAAATGGTTGGAAATAGATTTTCACCCCGGAAAAACAAATGTTCAAATTGCATGTACATATACAATATATGTACATTGTCGGATAATTTACAATTTATTTGTACGAGGTTTAGAAACAGGACGAAAAGCGAGGCTCGCCGAGCTTTTCTCCTGTTTCGTAGCGAGTACAAATACATTGAATAAATCAGACAATGTACATATATTGTTTTTATACTGCATTATACACCCGGTACATGAGCGTTTGTTGTTTAAATCAAAATCATTTTTCAAAGAAATCGACATAGTTGAAACGCGGTCCGCGAAGAGGTCCCAAAATGAACTGTTACCCAGAAAGAAATATCCATATTACTGCTTGCTCCACATGGAGGCGGGTAACAGGAGATTTTATTTGCGTACCATTTATTTGTACAATAGTTGGCTGATTGCAGGATAAAGCTATTTCAATGGCATTTGATTCACAAAGAGTACCAATATTTCTTGAAAATTATGCATATTTATTTGATACTCATAAAGCAAATAAAACATCTTTTTATAAATACTAATTTTTATGAGTAGTAGTTTCAAGCGAACCCCAACAAAAAAATTGTACACTGTAGATTACATTAAGTTTGTCTGTGAATCTAATGTCTTCCTTTTTTTCTTTAATCTGGTGTCGTCTTATATAGACACACATAATTTGGCTCGTAAATGCAGTGCATGTAAACTCATGCTGAGAACGAACATGCAAAAAGTTATGGTTTACCATAAAACACCGGTTGTTTGCAGTACCTATGAGGACAATGGGACCGCTACAAAACTTCAAAAAAAGGGGATTAGTATAGCTATATTTTGTTTTTCGATCTAAGAAGGTTGTCAAAATTGTTTTAGTATCCACATCTGATTCACACTGCATCTAGAATAGAGAGTTTCACAATAACTTTGAAGTCCGTCAATGATTGCTGATAAAATTGATGTTAAAAATTTAGATAGAGGTTTCATGGAGAACTTGGAAAACACAGCAATATAACTTTGTTTGTAAGGACACTTATGTAATTTACGTATCCAATACAGTACAGGAAGAAACAGTTCCTCGGCTTTTGTTGAAATTCCAAAGCAAAGTAGATTAGATCTATGCTTATCCAGAATTGCCGACTTGCTATGTGTCGTTGCGGTGTATGTTGAGTTTCAAAGTGAAATTGGTAATAAACTTATTCATTTATCAAGCAGTTTGTGTGATGTGATTTACAAAAAAACGATGTTTTTTGGGGGTTTTATCTGCGGGGATAACGACATATTTTTCATTGAGGTAGGACAGGTGATTAGCAACACAAAAGATTGACGTACCATTTGTATTTATAGAACCTTTCATTTTTTTTTAATTCCGATTTGTATTAACGACCTTTACAACAAACAAATTATCTTTTTTGTCGGAAAAAAGGTAAAGAAAGAGGTGAACTCAAAGGAACAATCAAAGTACCTTAGCAAAAAGAAACTAATAAACTGTGGAAAAAAAAAACCCAAAAGGACACCAAAAAAAAACACAATTATGTCGACAACCGTCGTGTTGCATATGGTAAGTGATCATTTGATGATTTAACAATCGATGAAAAGCTAATGGGAATGTGACTGCGATAATCGAAACATAAACTATTCTTGGTCATCTCTGACACAAATATTCCATAATCCGTAGAACTTTAGCAGCATGACTTCAACTTTATCGGTAGAAATCATTGTCTCAATGGACTCCTTGTAAGCAGTTTACTCTGTCAATGAAATCATTATAAACAATGCAGGTTTTGACATCATATCAAGTGATTATTCCATATGCAGGTGCTGCTGGAAAGTAGCTACATAAAAATGAAAGAGCTGACATTGTCTCTTTTGTCGTAATCTTTTGTTCTAAACCATCGATTATAAACAATAGTCCTTCATTGTAAATGTTTAAATCTAAATCAAGACATAATAGCAAATTTAACTGTATCGGCAATATCAAGATGGTTTCAGACGAAATCAGACCAAACATAAAAAATAACATTCAAATTTGTCAAACTGTGTTCAGATTCGTGCAGGGTGCCAGATCGATGCATAGGAGTTATGCCCTTTTTAGTTGGTGATACATTTTAAATTAAACAATGTTTATTTATATTAGAATTAAACATAACTTTCGAATACTTAAAGAAAGAATTTTCTGTTGATTATATATATGTCTGTTGTTCTTAAATTACATTTTATTGATTAAATCTATTTCTTTTTTTACTTTTTATGTTTTATTGAATAGTTAATAAACTTGTCGTCTATAAATGATTCTGGTTTTAATTTTTCTAATTTAAGTTAGTTTATTTATTTATTTTCATATTAATAGACAAAAAAAAATGTTTATTATCCTGTTGCCATGGTTACGATTCCTCTTGGATTTTGGCTACAATTGGTTTTTTTTAAATAGAAAAATTAGCATTTTCAGGCAGTTATTATGCACAAATTTCAATTTCGATGATTAATGAAACATTTGTTCATTTAAATATAACATTAAATTAGTTAGATAAAAGATAAAACATAACTCTAATAAAAAAGGGAGAAGGTGGCAACACTCATTAAAATAACCGAGTTTCATTGTATTCAAAAAGGCAAATTATAGGACTTTTGCATGAACTCATTAAATACTTTTGCATCCAAACCCTGAAGTTATGAAGGTTAACTAACACTGTTGTCTAGTAATAAAGATTTAGGATTCAGGTTAATAGGGTGGTTGCTAAGATAACCTAAAACATGTAAAAGTGAAATTGTTGTTATTTTGTAAAATAATTTTGACCTTGTTTTTAAAATATATTATAAATTATGACAGATAAAGAATGAAAATCAATTGAAAAAAAACCTTAAGTTTGATGCAAAGGTATAAGTTATTGTTGACCTTGACCTTCGACCTTCAGTCTTTTTTATTAGATTTTGACAGAAATGGTAACAAATATACCAATACCTTGAATGAAAAAAATGTTTAGAACGATTATTGCTTTTATTTGGTAACAAGGCTAAACGCTAGAGGTCATGTCAAAAGTTCTTAGCAATGACCCTTACTTGATATAAATCTACCCAGCAACCAAACATATTTAGGTTCAGACTAATATGAACTGTTATATAGATCCTTATTGAAAAGTGAGGGGTCAATATCGTTACCAAAATACTTAAGTAGCCATTCTCATAGTTGAAAACTCTCTAGAAGTCATCAATATGTTGATCCCTTGTGATAAAATTCCAAAACTTTGAAACTAAATATGATTCTTTCTTTCAATCAGAATGTCAAATTCCTTTTTTAAGGACAGAAATAATTTACTGGCATCATTTTTCTCGCGTGTATTTCAGGTAATCATCAGCCACGTTGTCGCATGTTCTGACTCAACACATCGTAGATATTTTGTGTGAGTATTTAGTGTTCATGAAACTTTATATCATTCGAAATAAGTACCAAAGCTGATTTCTCAGGCATATATATAGGTCTACAACAAGGGGTTTAGTGGTGGATATTGACCCCTCACCTTTTAATAAGGATCTATATAACAGTTCATATTAGTCTTAATCCAAATATGAATGATTGCTATGTAATTTTATATCAAGTAGAAAAGATTTGTTTTAAATTTTGTCATCAACATTGCAAAAATTGATGGTTGCTTGGCTTATGCTTAAGTAGCCATTCTCATATCGTGGAACATGCCTAGCAACAATAATGTTTGTGTAATGCTGATGACAAAAATTTAAAACAAATCTTTCTGGTCATGATTCAAAAATCTTTCCCTTAAACTTACCTGGCTCTTAAGAGCTCAATGATGTTATACAAACACTGGGTGTTCTTCATTGTCATCATTTTGTTCCTTTGTCCGTATAAAATATTTCCCTTTAAAACTGCATCATCAAACGTTATATAAAATCAAACAGTAAATAATAATGCGTAGTAGTCGAGCGACATTTGCCATTAAACTTAATTTTTAAAGCACCAACCTAACATACGGCTAAATCTGATATCATTCGAAAGTTCAAGAACGGACAATTTCTTATTTTACAAAAGTCAACATTTCTGTCTTCTAAATAATAAAATTCTGTATGGAAATATGATAAATTTTCAGGACAGAGACAATTTGTCAAATGTCAAACGCACTTTAAAATATAAATAACGTATTTTTAATAAATAGTGCCTTTTCCTAAAATTCCGATGAAAAGGATAAAATTAGTGAAAACTAAAATATTTGTCTGTGATTCAATTGTTAATCACCATAAAACCAAATAACATGTTTAATTTAGTGCTAAGGAATTTCGAAGTTTATGACATGATCAAATT